CTTCACGAAAAGAATTTTACTTCACAACACCGAAACTTATTCTACCAACAACGCTGTGAACTTATAAAATTCGATCCCCTGTGGCTTCGTAGATTACAAAAGGGTCTCTTTTTAATTTTCAAGCTTTTGAATGGCCGTACCTTTAATCCCCTCCGTACCATAAGGCAGCTCGACCACTCTCGGCGCGCCAGTCATCCAGATGTGTTTTTATTTCTTCCTATGGCACGCACAGTTGGGTACCGTCAATTCTTTTCAGTAAACGCCATAGCAATCAGTAATAAGCTGCCAAGAAGTATTAAAACGCAGTAAAGCTACCCTTTGTTTAAGAGAGCTATCACTAGTTTACTTCATTAAGGACAACTTTCACGAATTTTGGGTGCTGACTCGGTGGAATCTCTCTCTATCGCTCTGATGGCGTTCGTGAACTTTGAACCCTACCAGGCCTCATGCTGAAGATAATGGTGCTGAGGCAGCTGCCCGCAATCGGCCAATACTTCAGCCGACAGCGAGCAACTTTTCGCCGCCAAACATTCAAGGAAGACTGAGAACACTGTGCTGCTGTGTCAACCCTCCCCGTCCCGAACTAATGTTCCTAAATGATCTGCAGCTTTTCTCCTGCTAAACTGTCAACTCAATTTATAACTGTACATACATTCCGTTAGTATCGTACCTTTGAAGTAAGGTTTTTTCACTTGAAACAAACTGCCTATTTCGCCCAGTATTGACCAAGCACAAAATTGAAACAAAACCAATACTGACTGCAAAAGCAGGAGTTTGTTTTAGGTTTTTTCCTGTCTTCGAGGTGCTTTACCAATTAACAAAATTCTTAAAAATTGCCTGTAAACTGGCAAAATAAACATATATAACCTCAGGTGTTAGGTAAGGCGAAAATCCTCCGTTTCGGGCAAGAATAGGGAGCAAATACTGACGTGTAAACGAAAAAATCCTGGCTTGTTATACGCTAATGTTGTTTACTCAAATCGTTTCAGCACTCGATTATAATAATTTCAGCAATGCGCCAATCCTCTCCTAAATGAAAACGAGGAAATGGAAATTCTCACCTTTAATGCATTTAGGATTGGTCAGAAGAAGGATTCAAAGGTAGATTCGACCCAACCCAGACCGATAAAATTTATTCTCAGAAATGAAGCACAACCGTGGTTACTGTTGAACAGAAAGTCAGCACAACCGAACCTTCATCCGAGAGTTTCTTTTCAATAGGATTATACACCGGCCGAGCTGGAGAAGTGAAGGGCATTGAAAACTATACGTAACAGCAGATGCAGCGCGGGCGAGAGGAAACTACGAACATTCACCGAGCATCCACTAGACTCAAAAGCTTTCTTTATACGAAGGCACAGTTTTTTTTCAGAAGATAGATAAAGTTAAATTGTGTGTAGCTGGCTTACATCCGGACGTCATTTCCATCACAGAAATCTGGTTATAGTCCGCCGTAATGGATGCCGCAATTGTACCAGGTGATGCATATTTCCTTATCAGATATAGTTCGCATGCATAGGAAAGCACAGTTGGAACATATCAACGCTTCGCTCAGACTGCTAATTGACAATTTTATCTACGATCCTCAGGATGACTATCCCTGCCATCACACGGCTCTGGCCTAGGCGGGGCTGGGGACGGGGCCAGGCGGGGCAATCCGGGGCCGAGGATGAAATGACTTTACTGTACAAATTTCTCGAACTTTATTTTTTGCCAAAAAGT